TAAAGAGAAATAAAACGTTTATACATACTGTTTGTAATTTTGCTGTTTAAAGTGATCGAATTCATTGTAAATTGAGAACCACTTAAGTTGAGAAAAGAATGCATGAAGACTGAGAAAACTTACAAAAAAGAACTTAAAATACCAATTAATCTATTAGAGCAAAAGATTAAGTTTTAGCAAGAACTAATTAGTTCAAAAACCTAAGTAGAATATGAGAACTTTTGATATAACAAGAACGCAAAGTAGTTGAACACCACACTCATTCTCAGAATCAAATTGGAAGAAATAATAAACAGAAAAACTGCTTTAAGGGAGTCTTCTCTTAAGAAAATTGAAGCGGTTAATCCCCTTTTAAAATTTCGGCTAGGCGATAAGAAAAACCAGTCAATCTGAAACGCGTGATGTATTGACCAAATACGTTTCAAACAATTCGGTCACACAACTACTCTTATGCATCATAAGGGATTAATGGGTCTAAAAAATAATAATCGACATAACAAAGGGTCAAATTGTTAATTTACAAGCCAAATGAAAAATGGAAAGTTAGAGATAGTATATCAGTCACCCTTGATATTAAAGATGAGTTAGGAAGGAAGGTTTGATGCAGCAGAAAATTGTTTTTGAATACATAAAAGAGGCCAAAACTTCTGTACACCCAAAGCTTCGACAAACCTTAGTATATGCCCACAATACGCTTTGTAAATAGGTTTGAAACATGTATACAAATCAGCCTTGTGACCCTTTTCTAAGACACGCCTGGCTATTGGCGAAGCTGAGTCAATAGGATTATCCAATTCAATTGGTTGTAGCAGCCATTTTAGAATATATTCTGTGGCTCTTATTTGAATAATCAATAGGTTCTCCCGATAAATATGTGACCAGAAGTACATGTGAACGGATTGACACCGATGAATGCGACCCTGTGAGGGTTTACGTGAGCACATAAGTTTCGTTTTCCCTACAGTGTTGACCTTTGCTGTATAGTATATTCTGCAGCTGGATTCCTCTAGTAGGTTTGGTGGTTAGACTGTGAGTTACCTATGCAGAGTAGCGTAATATAGACATCTTTCTTCGGGGCTAACTCTACAATGGTCCTTCTATGCTCAGTCTTTTTATCGCGACCATTATATTTTAGTTCGCGATTTTCCAGCAATACTTTAATCAGCTCTTGTGTTTTCTACAGTAAAGTGTCTTTTGAGCATTTTTTTGGAAGCTGGTTAAAGAGACACTTAACCAGTACCATTCTATGCCAAAGTGGACAGAAACCATGGCAATTTAGATAATGTTTCCTTCGTGAATATTTCCTACAGATGGATTGCTTTACTGATCCATTCTACCGACGAGTTATGAAAATGCCTCACGTGCCACAATATACCATTCTGAGCTTTTTTTATTCGATTCAGAATCAAAGTAGCACCTTTCGTAGAAAAGAGGTGTCCTAATTAAATTTTTAACCAGACTGAATATGTGATATATAGACTCTGCTGGTAAGGAAACTATGAGACTTCCAGTGGATACATCACCGATATGATGGAAGTATTCAATCTCAAACATAAATTCAGCACCACTGCTACACAGAAGGAGAAGAAGCTACTTACGATAAGCAAGTGAAATCAACAATGGAATGTTGTTGGTATAGATACAATCGCATAAAATGTCAACTATCCTTATTAAAGGGGAATTAGTAAACGACGAAGTTCCGTCAATAGGAAATGCGGTTGCATCTTTAAGAATAATATTATGAGGATATTCAAATAACTTAAAAGTGTTTTATTCAAAACATTTACAAAACCGTTTCTTAGTGGGATCTAATGCATCCACCAACCAATCAGCTAGCTTTTGGGTCGGAGACCTGCAAACTGGTATACATAAACGTAGAGAATCAGCCTACTCATGTATTTTTTTAAAAGATTTAAAGACACGGAAGTTAGAATTCCAGGAGTCTTGGTGAACTGAAATCCTCCTCACTAGTGGCATTTAAAGAAATAAATCCCCATAGACTAGCTGTTACTTACCATTTTTGAGTCTGTACGGCTTCTGTGGAACAGTCTCCTATGAATTTTTCACCTCTAAAAATGCATAATATGCTGCCTTTATTATAATTTCTGCTCATGATAGCAACGCTTAACCTAAGAATAATGATATCAGTGTTGTTCTTTAGTTTTTTATGACTTAAAAGTGTTCAGCCACTAAAATACTCTTTTGTCTGGGATTGCTTCTACAGAAGTGATGAGCAGTATGCACTGATTTAGCTTTCAAACAGCTCTATTCATCAACAGATGTTGGAACAAGGGATATAAGTTGTTCATAAATATTCTCAAAATGGGTCACAATAGATAGTTATGTGGACCACATATGAAGGACACAGAGGTGTGGTCCCAGTAATAGAGCTTATTTACGATAAGCGGATTGCGATGTAGAAGATAAAGTAGCCAGATAATTATCTGGATCCACAGGAAAGAATTTTTAGTGGTTCTTGTCACAAAGTGATCTTAAAAACGGAACCATATTTCTCTCGACACAAATTCGTCGTTTATCAATGACCATTTGACACAGACAGCTGATATTTTGTCCATATTCCATTGCCGATTTTGTCTGCTTATCTTAAATAGCTTCTCCCATGTAGCAGTAGTACTGCATTTACGTATGAGGATGAACATTTCTGCCTACTCATCGCACTATTCAGAATAACTGCCTTACTATATTTTCATCAGAAACTCAGCAGTATCTACATACGGGGTAAAATGCCCAAAGTATTACAAAACACATGACCGCTGTAGAGAGGCACTGTCAAAGCTTGATGATTATTAAAAGCTAAAAAGGATGATTTTAAAATTTAAGACTTCGTCAGTCGTCTAAGTGGACACTGAAAAAGGTTACTTAAGTTAACAGTTGTTTTTAAAACTTTCTAGCCAAAACTTAAAATTAAACAACGATAGCTAATGTTCCATCGAATTCCAGTCTAAGGCATACATAGAATTTATCACTAAAACAATGTGTGATTACCATAGCATAAACAGAAAAATAATTTTATACCATACTATAGTTCCCAAGGAATTCAAAAGTGTACAACCTTTGGCTTTATTTGAATCGAAAAGTCTATGGGAATTAAAATGAGATGCTTGGATTTATGTTGCCAACAAGAAGTAAATTGAATCCCTCTTTTCACCCTTATCTCAAAAAGATCATGATATTCTTTTCCTACGGCTTTTTCCTCTTCATGTTTCTCCTCCTTCCCTGGCTGCAAAATCCTCATGTGAAATTTATTTACTTTTATGCTGTAGCTGACTGTTTTCACCTTAATGATAAACATTGTTCTTAACAATGATGAACAACACTTCTACCGTCTGTTGGCCTACTTAGGCAATATTCATTCCACTGATCATACGTACAACTTCCTGCCTTCTGAACTCTGGAATAAGCCACGTAGACAAACCTTATTATCTTTTTACTTGAATTATATGACTGTATATTCCTATTAGGTGACCATTTCATATGAACATACGCAATGTTACCGACAAATTACTTTCGTTTTTTAGTTAAATTCAGGCCCACTTTATGTCTATCCACAAAATCGCAGACTTTTAACTGTGGGTTTCATCTTTTATGCCTAACACTTAGTAATGTAAACAAGCATTCATTGTTTTGAAACCTGGGGCTTTGAGAAGATAGTCAGTGAAATCAGTTATTCACCTGAAGAGTGCTATACAACGTTTATTAAAAATAGACACCAGCTATTAAAAAGGATTAGTACCTGAAATGCTTCATAATTTGAGGCGGTGAGAGCAGAAATGATAGGAAAAGTGTGAACTACTTTGAAGAAATATGATATATCATGCCCTCTTCATCGGCGAAACTGTACAGAATATCACGTTCATACATCAAATAATGAATACATAAAGAATGTGTAGGAACATTCACTAAGGGTCTACCACAATCGGATGACTTAGCTTCCAAACAAAACCAAACATTTCGTCAATGAGTTCCAGCCATGTCACTAGACTGCAGTTAGAATCAGTTAGGACTGTGATAAAATGCATGCAAAAGTAACAATTTTTGAATCGCATGTTGAAGGTTCATCAGTGAAAGATGGTGTGTTAAAACTACAATATACCGGTGACTTTTGTGACCGTTCAGAATAATAAGGATAAAATTCATGAAAAAAAACAAATGTACATAAACTGGCACTTTCGGTGATCAACGGTTACGTGCAGCTTCAGATTTCGATTGAGACTTTGCACTAGGAACCCTCAGTTAACTTCATCACTCGAAACATCAGCTAAAATTGCTGCTTTTTTTAACTTTTCCTTATCTCAGTATTAGCACTACGTAAAAGACCAAAATCTTTGTTATTCCAAACACATAAGTCTTCCATACTTATTCAAGTGGGAAGTAACTAATTATTAACCACTCTTAAGCGGATGGGTTTTACACTAATTTATCATATTTACGGATATGAAAGTGGATTAAAAGGCCATATGGATGAAATAAGAAATTTGAAATAACTTCAAATCCGGGTAAATCTGCTAATGATTTTGTCCTATCTATAACAAAACATGCACTCTAAGTTAGTAAATGTACATAAATGTAGCATGGGACACTGTAGTATTCTATGATTTGATGATTAAATCAACTATTTAAATAGAACTTTTAAACCAAGATATTTTCATGAAACACCACAAACCGAGGGTCTACTTTCTAGTGGTGAGCAGGACATGTTAACTTATAAACGTTTTCAAAAAGCAGGTAGTTTTCATATATATTATTCACACTGAGCAGTCCAACCTTAATCTTGAGTAACGGCCTATAGAAGTGTTTTTTAGATTTTTTTATTATTTTCATAGTGAAATCAATCAGTAGTGTGACATCACATCATGTACACATTCAGGTTTGACTGGAAGCAGTTTTAAGTGCATGTTCACAACTTACGAGGTACAAATTACTATCTACCAGTGAAATTCTTGCAAATTTTATATTGAGACATTTTTAGATGAACTTACCAACATTAATACCATTTACTTCAACTACAAAATCTTCATCTCGCAATCCCGCAGCATAAGCAGGAGATTTATGATCTACTTCTGTTATGTAGTGACCAATTTTTCCTTTGGTCGCTTGCAGGCTGAACCCATAGCCTGAATAATTGTCCCACTTATGAATGGTGCACAAGCGTGCAAAATGCTTATCCGACATTCGACAATTGGTTCATATGCCGCGCTATTGACTTGGAAGTAGCTGGATACCTTGAGTAGTGACTACAAACAATACAAACTAATTTCCGAGTGATTCAAATTTCATGATGTAAAAATAGTGAACAGTGATCCTTTGAGTTCCACGTCCGTCTTATTGCAGTGTGTCCCTATTTTTGAATGTTTACAGTTGTCTTCCTAGCTCCGAAAAACATCAAAGGACAGAGATAATCGGTTTTTAGATCGTCTGCCTTCTTCCCTGATCTGTGGATGACGAAAAGTTTCTCGAATACAGACAACTGATACCAAAGACTTTAGTGGCAACCATGGCAATCGCTGAAACCACCATTTAAGTTCCCTGACTCAAACTGGAATATACACATTAGCCTACTTCCCACGTTGTATATCGAGGAAGGCAGAAGACTATCTGATTGGTTCAGAAACCTTCTACGTTAAGATTAAGAATTGGCACAAACTTCGAAATCTATGGGAGTTTAAAGCAACGGACACTAGTGTTGGCTTCTTGTTACCTCAGGCCAGAACTCTTCCCCTCGAAGCCATAAACTGAACTTGCCTAAGATTGCTCCTGTGTTTAGAATTATGACTCTGTATACATCTTCCAACATCCAAAGTCAATATTGTTAGTGTGGAAAAGTGGCAGTTCCTGAGCTCTCCTTATTCAGTTATCAGATTTGGTTCTTTTTCCGGACTAACCTCCTTAAGAGAGTGAAGAAATCTCTTCTTCTTTCCTGCCTTTACCCATTTTTAGATGAGTGCCTGATGCGAATGTTCATTCGCACTTGGTAGACTAAGCTGGCCATAAAGCTGTGGGGGACCGTAGTGACTCCGGTATGTATAGGTGCCTGAATTGAGTTAGTACAATGTAGGGAAAAGGTAAATTGGATGTCCAAGACGGATGAAGGTAGGTGGGTTAGGCACAGTCGCTAGAGGAGCTTGAAGACAAAAGGTATGAATCGAAACAAGCAGATAATTGGTGGTGGGTAGGTGGAAAGTAGTTCCGAGCTACTGAATTGCTGATGAAGTCAGTAGTGCCCTGAGTAAGTCAAACGAAGGGATACAATTGCCTGATCTTTTAGGTGTCCACTGAGACGTTGCAACTGCTTCCGAGGTATGTCATCGGCTAAAGCATGTGCATGTAAATAAAAGAAGTTTGGCTTGATCCCTAGGCTTGACATCTCAGAAGTATGCAGAGGTCGATATTCTCCTACTGTAATTTTATTGTTGTCCTTTACTTAAGGCCAAACTCTTATTTCACGAATGAATAAATCATTTTGGCAAAACAGAAAGTCCAGTTACAGTAGACCCAATGAGTGATTCCTAGAATGATAGCTGTTTCCAGAGACTCCTGAAGACGTTTAAGGTACTATGAAATCCCCCCTCTAAATTTAGTGTGTCTCTGACTGACGGACTATACAACTTGGCTACCAGCTTTGGTGTGTATGAATGAATATTACTGGATTTTCATAATGTATGTCGGCCTTATTCAAACGACTTCAGAATGGCGGTCAGCGAGAAAATAAAGAATTATTCAACCCGCGTGTTATTTTACCTCAGTGTTTGTCAGCTAATCTGGACTGTGCTACAATCATTCTCGGGTGCTAGAGACAGCCATCTTCGATTACCAAAACGATGGACCTCACAAATCATCTATATCCATGGAAAAACTGCCCCAGAGAATACAACGAACACTTACTGGTCGTAATAAGTTTTTTGCAATCTGGCCTGTCCTGAGTTAAATGGCTGAACTGCATAGTTGTTCATACGACTATGATTTTGGAGACCGTTTCGGTAAGATGGCATATCAAATTCTGCATGGCGGTAATGAGAGCGTGACCACCGACACAACAAATCACATAACAAGATGCCAAGAAAGAGCTATCTGGTGACCTTTAGCAAATTATAGCACGAAAGTGGTTTTGTCATCTAACCAACAGCTTCCTCGAAACTGATGTCGTAGACGTAGGCAAACTATGCTTCACTTCGCGTGGAACTTACCTGCTAAGTTAGGAATTCGCGTTACGTTGCTAAAAGGCTAAAATATTCCAGCCGTTGGTGGGATTTCGGGCAGTAATTTCGCTCAAAATATTGCCAAAATGAAAACCGATCATTGCCTGTGAGCTTCTCATTAAGAACTTGCATATAGTGCATTATTATACGTTCCTCGCGTTTTGTCGCTTCACTGTTTCTGCTGCTGTTCCGGACTGTTGCTCATTGAAATTGTTCTCATAACACGCAGAAGTTCGTACCTCTGTCCAATTGAAACGCCTTCACGACTCAACAAAACAATGTGCAAATATTCATAACCGGTCTTTAGCATGAGTCTTTCTGGTGCTACTGAACCTATCCAACTGATTGTACTTCTGTGACCCCACCGCTACTCGGTAAAGTACGGTACAGCTGGGGGATGGGACCCAAAGAAATGTGCTTGTAAGAGCCTCACTGAATTCTGCAGTAGAAATCGCATCACTCATGACCTTCATTCGCTGACCGACAAAACTAATATGAGCCTCAACAATAATGATATTGATGCAAAACTGGTAATTACATTGGTGATACAGCTGAAAAGTGTTTTTACAAGCAGCTTTATGATGCGTCTAACAACTGAGGGCCATATGTATGCAACAACGACCGTAGCCTGGATAATTTTACAAGGAAGAACCGTGACGGATCTATTTTGTGTTGTACTGGCAGTTGATCTCAAATTGGAAGCCCTAGTACGGAATCCTTATCTGTCTCTGAAACTAAAGGTATTATTCAAGACTGGCAGTCCCGAGCCAAGCAAGTGCACTCGAAATTCCTTTAAACCGACACAATTCCTCCAAAATAGGGTATATGGTACGTTATATGCAGGATACAACATCTTTGAAGCTACTGAGTACTAGGTTTTACACTGCCCACACAGAAGCCAAAAATAAAGTCCAGGCGTAACCTTGATGAAGGTCTTAGGCAAAAAATGCAGTTACCCATATTTCTTGCAAACTTATAGAGTGCCTATTAGCCGATCAGGAGGAGGTTTTATGCAGTGTGGCGGACGAAGTCTTGATAAATGCCGATAACAAAGTGCTCCTTAACTCCGCTACTACGTCGGACGTTCTGCGCAGGTGCCTTAGACTCTAAACAAAGTGCCAAAAACACTGCTGCGAAGTCCTGTGCCGCTTTTGCAGTCGGCAAACAGCCACAAACTTTATTAGTCCTCGTGATGGTGTCGCTTTCACCACATCAGTCATAACTTTGATGGTACTGAATGAGGGGTCCTACTCTACAAAGTATGCATCCGTCCAATTCTAGAATACTGCTCATTTGTCATAAGCGGCTTTCGAATAGACGACAAATTAAAAATCGAAGGGGCATGACGCCACCTTACATTAGGAACACTAGAAGCTGACTGCAGCCTTGACTACATCTCCAGATGCAACATACTAGGACTAGGACCCGTCTGGAAGAGGTGACTTAGGACGAATCTTGTACTTTATTATAAACTACTTTGTAAACAAATGCACTCATGTGGCCCAGGAATTAAAACAGCTGTATCATCTATTTACAATATACGTAATCACAAACAATTAGCTAAAACTGAGTGTTGTAAGACCAATGTGCGAAGTAATTTCTCCATCAATAAGTTCTATCACATCTGGAATAGACTTCCTGAGGAAATACGTACTATAGGTTCATTATCCGTCTTCCACTCTTCACTTAACAAGCTCCTCACAGATGACGAGCCTACCACTCGTTTTGTCACTATATATACATTCTGGGCTAACGAATACATACTAGGCCCCCTAAAAGTGTAAAGTAAAACTATCATCAATCCCAAGTATTTTTTCTTTTTTTCTTAATGGGCCTTAACATTATTGCACGGGGCGTTTGACTGCTATTCTACTAGCTTAGGTTGTGTAGTCAGTAGAGTACACACTGGTAAAGCATATATCACCTTGATGCACAGTCGGTTTTACCCGCACGTCTACAAATAAACACGGTTTATCCAAAAACTTGTACGTATTTTACGTAGGATAATCATAACAGTCATTTTTATATGCATAAATTAAAATGCATATATAGCTCAAGCGTCTCTAAGAAGATAGGAACTTCTCTCTTCCAGATTTCATCTTGTGTGATACACCATTCTCCGGCTTCTGCTACTGCTTTCCTTTTTTCTTCTCTTTTCAGCTTAAGTTTGAAGAGAAAACCTTGAGCATAATTTTGACCAATATTATCAACCTACTGAACATACTACTTCATACTTGACACCAGAAATTATTGGAAGAATCCCTCACTTGGTCTTTCTCTACTGATTTTCAACATTCCGAAACGTTCCACAGCAAACTTGTCTAGTTACCGACAGCCTAGATGCAACCACGTACGAAAACCCAACTACAGTGAATGATCTAAGGCTTCTGAATGGTCATAATGTCAGCGAAAATCTGGACAAACAACTAAATCTAAGAAATAAACTTACCTAGCGACATAAATACTTCACCTCATTTGACTCCGTTTTGTGGAAGACAATTGACAGTCAACATACCTTGATAATGCTGTATGCTTCAGCGTGAATTCTGTGTGCAAAGCTCCATCACCACTGGATAATAGTCTTTCAGATATTTATCTCTTTGTGTAGCAATAACTAAATCTGATGGATTACGTCTTTATTGCTGAGCAAGATAACACTATAAGTTGGAATTGTGAAGACTTATATACTCATGTGGATTACATGGTTATGCTCACATTTACTGCTACCTGAAATCGATGAAGTGCGTTTTCGTTGGCCAATGACACTATAAACATGTGAACTGACGTCAAAATAAACGTTTATCTGACGACACACGTAACTATGCCACCAGGTTAACCATCTAGGTCACATGTAACGCAAACGTCAAATATTGGACGATTTCTGTATCACTTTGTTGTGCAAAAAGAATGGTGAGTGGAGACAACCGAAACTCAAAAACGATCTGAATGTATCGTGAATTGATATTTTTTGGCCCT